TATGATCTGGTTTAATTGTCTCTGTAAAGTGCTTTGAGATGACATGTGTTGGTAATTAGCGCTACAGTAGACAAATAAACTGAATGAAATTGAACAACAAAGTCTTTTTTTTTTTAAATAGTGAATTGCCATTCATGCAAAAGTCTATTTCTTGTGTGAAGAATTTTATTAACATATTCATATCCTACATTTATTACATTTAAATTTCAACATTTCCCAAGAAATCTTGAAAAAAGGCATCATAAATTCAAAATGAACAAATATTTCAAATAAAAATCTTTTCCATTCAAAATAAACCATCTAACAACTGAGTGCCTTGTCTCTCTATATCACACTGAGTTGTGCATTACAGTTGTTGAGGCGTGCGCTTGACTGCATGAAACCACGTTTGTGTCCACTGAATTAAAAACATCACATGTTAAAGAAAAAGTTTGCACTTCAAGTACCATCTGGTGCTGAACCAGCAAATAAATGAACATAAGAATCCACTTCAGTCATAAACAAGAATAAGTCATAGGTAGTAACATGTTGATGGTTATGCCTTCATGGAAGGTGAGCGGGGTACTCCAAACTGCTGAAGCCAAACAAGCAGGTGAGATAAATGGGTCAAGGAAGTCTACACTTAAAATTTACCAACACCAGTAATATGAAGTGGGACAGAGATGTTTTAGGAAGACTGAGGCAATGCTGCAATATATACACAACATAATTTAATGGAGCTGGATTTTCAAATTGTCACGATAAGACTTAAAAGAAAAGAAAGAAAAGAAAAGAAAGAAAACATACTGGACTTATCAAAAGACAATGCATTTTTCCAATTTCTTCAACTTATCTTGAATAAAAATGCAAAAATGTGTGCAATGCATGCAAAAGCATGCAAAAAGCAGAACTACTAAAATGTTCAGAAAAAACTTTTTTTTTTGTCCTTCTACATATGGCAAGTATCAAAGTGACACGTATTGCAGGATTTTACATTGATAGTAACAGTACTTTGCAGGAAAGTCTTCACTGCTTTAGGCAGGTTGTTTTTGAAAATCTTTGCAAAGCAGACGGCTTTTTCAAGTGTCCCTTTGTCCAGGTCAGAACTACAGAATGTGCAGCTATGCAATGCAAAGGTAAAGATGTGAGGCAGAGAGTAATAATCCAGGAGCTACACGGGTGTAGCAGTATTGGTCCAGTGTTGGGCCCCAGGGCCATGCAGTGTCACAAGGCAAACTGAGGTCCTTATTGTTTCTGAAATACAATCAAAGTAAATACAGAGTAACTGGGAATGTTTATGACAGATGACATAATAGATCTTCATGATGTCAGAAGAAATAACTCACCCGTTTAGTTCTCAGGTGCGGGAGCATGTGAGGAGTGGCACTTGTTTTTCTGCAAACAGAAAATCCACCAAAACTTTGCAATTGTCCAAAATAAGTTTAGATAATTTTTCAAGCATGAGATCACAGAATAAATTATTTTGCTATTTTACAGTGACCACATGTACGGAGCAATACAATTAAAGCATGGTGTGCAGTATCGCTGCGGTTTAACCAGATTAGATAGAAATTCCATAAAGTGCATAAATTATAAATACACCAAAGAAAGAAATGTAGAATGAAAAAGAACCTTTTAAAAGCATTTTTTTTTAACAATGCAAACTTTTTCAGGATTTAATTTAAACATAATATACAACTTCAACTATTTCAAAATTAAGGACTTGGTGCAAAAGTATGACTTCATTGTGGAATTCAAAAAGGGTTCTATTACATATAAATACATTTAGCAAAAGCTTTTATTAAAGTTCTTATGAAGGTTGGGCTGTTAATCTAGTTTTAATTTCAGTCCAAGGTTAATTACCCTCTAATCAGAGGCTATGATTAACTTCAGCTGGTATTTTGTCCTTGCTAAAAATAGAATGATTCATCTCACTGAACTCATTGGTTGCAACACAAAATATCCAAGCAAGTCATTAAAGATCTAGGCAGAGGAATTATAGAGCTGCATAAACTAGGTGAGTCCTTCTGAAAAACTAGGAATTTAAAAAAAAATCCTAATTTTAATACATTTTATTATACTTATGTGCAAGTTATTAAACTGTATTACTACTTTGCTATCATACTACTACTACTACTACTACTACTACTACTACTACTACTAATAATAATAATAATAATAATAATAATAATAATAATAATAATAATAATAATAATAAAACAAATGTTCCATAATGGTCACCTTTTAACTCCACTATGCAAGTTTTCAGGGGTTTTTTTCACCACAATGACATATATAATTTGAGAACATAGTGAGGCTTCCTAAGCTAAGAACACAGCACCTGTTATGTATGGTGGTGGGAGCATCAAGCTGTGGGAATGGTTATTCACCACTGGTAGTTACTGTAAAGGGGTGAAATAATTAAGTAATTCCTAATTCTTTCATTTAGATTAATAACTAGAAGGTTGAAATCTGTAAGCGGCTGAGGGGTCCAATACAATCACCCCAAACTCACATTAAAACTGTGTTTTAAAAGGATAAAGTACTACTGAAACACCTAAAATGCCCTTCCTAAATACACAACTTCAAATTGACCCTCTTGGAATATGTGGCTGCTTAGAAGCTACAAGGCAGCTAAAGATGTTTGCATACTTGAGAATATATGTATAATCATGACCCTGTGCAGACAAGAGAAAGTCCCAAAATAAGAGATTCAAAACAGATTCCTTTTTTTACCTTTAAATTTAGTCGATAGTGCAAGCTTCGGTCGGATAGCCAGGCGTGTCGGAGGGACTCTGTTGCGCTCATCCTCCAGCTCTTGCTCTTCACCAGCAGCCGGGTGATAAAGTCTTTGGCCTCATCGGAAATGTCTCTAAACTCCTCTTCCTCAAAGTTCCACTGACAGGCCAGAATGTTATTGAGTGTCTCATTGTCATCGTCCCCCAGAAATGGAGACAAGCCACTAAGCCTAGAGCAACAAGAAACAGAGCTTTGGATATTTGCAGTCCTCTGATTTTTTTCCTTCATTTTTTTTTATTGTATTCCTTTTCTGTAACGAGTTATCAGTTCAGATGATTGAGCATCCCTGACTTACAGCATGTAAGTGATGACTCCAAGACTCCACATGTCTGTTGGGAATGAAACAAACTCATAGTTGATGACTTCAGGGGCGAGAAATTCCGGCGTTCCAAAATTAACCCTCAGCTTCTCTCTGGGTTTATACCTTTTAGAGAAAAAGATGTGCCTGTAAATTTGGTAGTTTTCAACAAAACCTCCATAACATTAGATGGGTTTCATTGTTTACCTCCTTGCCAGGCCAAAATCAATTATTTTTATCTTGTTTGTAGCTCTGCTGACGCAAAGAATGTTTTCTGGCTGAAAAAAAAAAACATTTTAAGAGCTTTAAAACATGCATAACATAAGAGTATCATGATAAAACAGTTATATTACCTTGAGATCAAGATGCAGGATGTAGTTTTTGTGCATGTACTGCAGCCCTTCACAGATCTGACGGATGAACAGCACCGTGTCCAGCTCCGTCAGGTTGTAGTTCTCGTCAATGATGCGGTCAAATAACTCCCCCCCTTCCACACTGAGGCACAGAAACAAAAACACAGTTTGTAAAAGGAAATTTTGTTGCTCTGTCCCATTAAAGTGTTAAAACAGGCTCTCAGCAGCAGACTTACTATTCCATAACCAGGATGATGTCATTCCGTGACTCAAAGGCGGCGTAGAGCTGGATGAGGTTGGCGTGGTTCAGCTGGTTCATCACCTGGATCTCGTTCCTCACGACCTCCTGAGAGCCAGAAATATTTAACAAAGCAATCAAGCTTCTTTTGTCAAATGAGATGTGATGTTAATAGGAGCAATATGACAAGAGTGGTTACTGCTTTACTAATAACTGATGCTAATATATCCAATAATGCATTCTAGATATGAGGCTGAACTTTGGAAAATATCCTGTCACCACTTTAAAGAATGTGTTTCTCTACTTTATTCCCATTTCTCATGCATTGGCAGCACGAAGGCTTGAAAACCTGAATATAATATAGATATTAGCTTAGCCTCTGGTAGAACTCCATTAATGAATAATATGGGGCAAATAACATTAGATTTGTATTTAATGTGGTCTCGTAGATGGGATTTAGGAATTGTCCAATAGTTAGAGTGTTTTTTTCAAAATTAGGTAAAATTTTACTAATCAAAAACAAATTTTATTTCATAATTTCCCCACTGATATCAACACAGGAGGGAGACAACCGTCTTTAGATCGATGGTCTCAAACTCTACTCCTTGGGTGGTGGGGTCCTGCAACTCTCAGATGTGACCCTTGCCCTGCACACCTGACTCACACGGATAAACTTCCTTCCTAGAAAGCAGATTTCCCAAATGGAAATATTACTGCACCTTCTCTTTTTGGCTCTTTGCTTTGATGATTTTAGCAGCGAGAGTCAGCCCAGACGAGTTCTCCAGGCACTTGTAGACTTGTCCGAAACGACCCCTGATAAAAGAAAACAAGGGAAATTGAACACATAATAGGCGCATTAAATTCATGATAAAAAGAGAAAAGGTATCTTTTTATTTAGAAAACATGCCTTAAATGTTGTTTGTTAGGCATCCCAAGTATTTCATAATTGCACAACTCTCAATGAAATAGTTGGGGGGGCAGGTTCCCCTTTTAATTATCATCACGCTGTCGTCAGTACAGAGCAACAAAATCAACCCTCTGCCTTTAACCCATCCCCTTGGGGAGCAGTGGGCTGCCATTATGCGGCCCCGGGTAGCAGTGTGGGGTTTAGGGTCTTCGCTCAGGGACCCAGAGGGACCCAGAGTGGCAGTCTGTGGGAGTGGGGACTCGAACTCAGAGCCTCAGAATTCCGAGTGCAATGCCCCGACCACTAGGCCGCCACTCCCCCAACAAATACAGCAAATACAGTCATACAACAGAAATAGACAACCAAATTAGAACTTTAAAATGTTTGTTAGAAAGGGTGGGAAAATAGACTAATGTAGATCTTCAGAATGCTAGACTGGAAAATGCAATTAAATGAGGGTTAATGCTAGTGCTCAGGCTAAGCCTTTGTTAGCTGGTTTGTCATCATCAAAATAAATCCTAATCTAAAATGTTCATCTGCTGTATGTCCAAATGATATATATACATAAATAAATCACTTTCAAACTGGATTTATCTTCAAATAATTTTGATAAAAATTACAGTATGGCGATTTCTCTGCAGAAGTTTGAGAAGCAGGATTTAGTTCTAGCCCATTACATAACAAGGAACTGCTATTTTGCAAGAGTTCTTAAGTGGGCAGCACAAATGGCATGAAATAAACAGTTAGGCATCCCTTTGCAGCCTGTTAAACCCTCTATTATTTCATTACAGTGGATCAAAGAACTGAATGCCTTGGTGAAATGGAAATAACTGAGGAATAACTCTTGCTTAATGAGAGAAGACTGCTTTGTGCTTGTCACTCACCCGCCCAGAACCTCATCCCTGTTTATAGTGTAATAGGTGGCTATTTGATGGGGTTTAGGAGTCACAATTCGGTGATCAAAAGGAGCGGTCGGAGGAGGGCCTGCATCTGGTAAACACAAGTGGAAGAAATAGGTTATTTTTGTACTGAATGTCAAAATCGGTGCAGAGACAGGAAGAAATCTCTGTGCCTAGGAACATGGATGAAAATAGCAACATGAAAATGACTTATTGTCTGCCCTATAAGCTGCATGACTGATATGTTCTGGAGGCCCAAGCAGGCACGACATGATGGCATGAGATCAGGAATGTTGGATCAAATGTCGCACACTATCATGATAAGTTGGGACTTAATCGAAAAAGACGCTACATATAAAACTAGCAAAGATGCAGAAAATTGGCCCGGTAATTTATGTGTCTTCTAAGAAAAACACACTTTGCTTATTTTTTTACTGATTATCTTATATTTCTCTTTAATACCAGAGTCTATTACATTATCACTAAAATGGTTTTACATTACAACCACAAATATTTATGTATTTTACTGGATTTTAAGTGCCTAAGGAAAGGCACAAAAGGTTCATCTGATTTAAACTAATATTATTAATATTTCCTTGAATACTCTAATGATCTTTTTGCATTCTATATGCCATTCTGCATTGATGAGTGGATCTCTGTGATTTTGTCGTCCCACACGTTGTTTCACCGGAAAGGTTTGCTTGGATGCAACTAATTTTCTTAGATATCGCAGATGGGAAAATATACTACATTTATATAAAGGTATCAAACTCTTCTAAACTCTCACCAATGACAAATTCTTTCACTGCACACTCTCCTGCTTCTTTAGCTTCTGCATTGGCTTCGTCTGACTTTGAGCCCTCCACCTCCTCACCAACAGCGTTTTTCACTACGCTGTCCTCCACTCGACTCTTTTTCAGGTCATCCTTCTGGTCCTCTTCTGTGACGCGGCGTTTGCCTACGGCGCCTCCATCTTCAGTGTCTTCAGAGCTTTATAAAGCAGAGTACAGGTTGAGATTTCAATTCAGGTTTTAATAAAAATTTTTAATTTTTTTTTCATCCAAGCTTTTGGTTAATATTCTTTGAATACATTCAACAAAAGGAAAAAAAGTAAAGAAAGAGGTTGGGAGTACCTTTCCTGGGACGTCTTGCTCATGTCTGAAATAACGTTGTCCAACAGTGACGCTTCTTCTGATTCTCCTTTAAGCCTTTTCTGTACATCATCCTCCAATTTTCTGCCCTTTTCTTCACCATCATCCTGCTCTTCCTCTGCTTCTGTGTCATCAGGCACATCCCTCTCTTCTTCCTTATCCTTGTTTTCCTTACTTTCCTCCCTCCCCTCCTTAGTTTGGCTTGCAGGAGCATGTGACCTATCCAGGATCAGCCCCCCGCTTCCTCCATCTTCCCGATTCTGGTCGGCACCCTCCGCGTTTACATGGGAATGCTCGCTGTTCTCCCTGTTGAGCTTTTCAATCTGCTCCTTTAACGCCGACTCACTCAGAGAGGAGGTGTCTAAAGTAACAAAAATGAGGGAAATACATTTATTAGTATATGTAGTCTCAGTCCAAAAAAACAAATAATAATAAATAACAGTGATACTTCCAAGCTTTCCTGTTCATAGTTTATTGAAACCCCTTTAAATTTATAAAATTAATATTTCTGTTTTCTCAAACTGTTAAAGAGTTTGGACATTTATCTTGAATTTGATTCCCTAGTAAATTATGTAAACTTGTTTTTTCAATTTTTAAGACTATTAACAGCTCGCTCAACTTTTATCCAGTTATAGAAATCTCAAATGGGAAATGATAAGTTTTCAGCTTTATTCACCAGCATGAAGAATCTATCCAAATGATATATGATAAAGTATTTGGAATACTGAGATCTTTTTTTTTTTGCGTGCATTGCATATTTTTACATGATCTAGTTTCAGATAATATACTGCAATAACAATCAACTTAAAGGCTGTTAAATAGAGCCTTGGTACACTGCACTTAAATTAAGTGCATTTTTCTTGAATTGAGGAGGTAATTGAGATACTTTGCCAATGGAACAAGACAATTTACATTTAAAATAAGAAAAAAAAATAACTTTGTCTTATTTCAAGTACAAATTTCCTAATTATCTTTTTTTGGGAGTAAAAATACTTATTCCATTGGCCAATCATCCTATTTATCTAATAAAATTAAGGGTAAATAAACTCAGTTTAATATTTTTTTTACTTAATTCTAGAAGATTTTTGCAGTGCATATATTGGAAATAGCAGTAGAACATTTTCGCTGTTTTTATTCACAGCCATTAGAATGGCTGAAATTGTAGATCATTTTGTTGGTTTTTTTAAGAAGAACTAACTGACATATAATAATATATTTGACAAATTTCAACACTATCTTTACTGTTTTGCATTACTGAAGGTCAGATGTTTTGTCATATTATAGCTCATAAAAATTACACTACAGACATAGAAAACGACATCACTCACTTAGACAAAGAAACCTGAATGTTTAAGTTGTAAAACGGTACATTTTGCATCAGATATTGTTAAACAGAGATGACTTAAAAGACATGGGGCTTCTTTTTTTCCATTTCTATTATTCTGAACTACTCAAAACTCCATGTTTTCATTTTTTTTTTTCCTATTGTGAAATCAATTAGATTAGAGGTACTTTAGCAACCAGAAGGGTTTAAAAGTAAAAACCGAAAAATGTGTCCTGTCAGTCTGTTTAATGGGGGGTGTGTCTGTGGCGCCTATCTTTCCCTAGAGGTCCTGCTTAACTGGTTTCCTATTCTTGTCCATCAACTCAAGCAGGATGTGTTCCAGTGAACTTTAGCACCAGATCATTTTTCTAAATGCCTGTTCTTTTTTTTGTATCTAAATCATAATGGGATTATTTTTCAATTTGGTTTTATTTTCAATTTCCATCAACTGATGGTGAATTTTGATATGAGGGTGTCAATACTTTGATCTTATCGTGTAAACTGAAAAATCTGCCTGAAATCTAGCCTCCATTTCACATCTAGTAAGCCTATAATCTGATTCTAATCAGCAGTCTGAATAAAACACAGGCTTGTTTAAAGAATCCATGAAAAATCACAGGTTTTGCTTTAATATCTTTTTGATCATAGACTAAAATCATTTGAAATATACATTTTTGTACAAATGTTTCGACATAATTTTATGGTAAATAGAAATAATGTTCATTTAGTATACAAAGATTGTTGTCAATACATTTATAATAAAAAACTATAAAAAATGAAACTACCCAAAAATCTTTTTGAAAGCGAATAAATAACAACAAAAAATTATCAAAGACAGGAATGAATAAAAATATTGCCATATATATATATATATATATATATATATATATATATATATATATATATATATATATATATATAGCACTTTTTTTTTAAAGAAAGAAGATTTTAAACAGTGCATCTTCATTAGGGATGATTTTTCAGCACCATTCAGGTAAAGTATTAATTAATAAAGTGTAAGGATGATTCTTATCGTATCATTAGGTGCAACTTAAAACTTCCTCATACCGGTACATGATTTCTTGGTAGTTTGAAGGGCAGTAGCCAGTATTAAACACTATCAGAAACTTTTACTGTTTGCACTTGAGCAGTTTCACTCTCTGAATTTTCTTTCACTTTATTTGCCTTCCAGTTGATCTCCTAAAATCCGCTACGTTTCAGCTTACCTGAAGAATCCTGAGGTTTCCTTTTCTTCTGAGATTTCCCACCTTTAACACTCTGCTTGGCTTTGTCATCTTTTGCCTTTATTTGGAAAATGGGGGGAGAAAAAAATATATTTTAAAAGATGCGTAACTTTAACTTGAGTGAGGCATTAAGGTTAATGGGATGAAGCTGATATCTGTGATGTCAACAAGTAACAGTCAGTAAAGGTGGATGTTTCTGTTTGCATAACAGGGGGGTGCCAAAACAGAATGTTTGTTTCGTTGCTGTGGTGCTTTCATTACTCAAGGGCCATATTCTGCACTACTGATGCTCCCCTTAAAGAGGAAAGGTCACATATTCAGTAGCAAAAAGCAACTGCAATATACTTTCACTGTATTTTATTTTCTTTATTTTTTTTTTTTAATGCGAGATTGATATTTTGAACACATGTTGTAGGCTATAATGTGCATATAAATCAGTTCACTGAACCAGACAGATCCCCTCAAGAGCCCATATGAGCGTTAGAATAGTAGAAAGAGCTACATTCAGGTTCGGTTTTTATGGTTCCACCCATACAGGATGACGCGCACTCCAGAACATTCTGTCCCAGCACACTGTGATCATTATATCTGTTACTGCTTATTGTCACCCACTTAGAAGAGACCAGACAAGTTTTGCATGGTCCAGCTACAGTCTCTAAAAAAAAAACAAAAAAACTTGAGTGTCTTTTAGTGATAACAAGTCTGACTCCTGTCATCTTCACCTAAGGGGTAAAAACACCTTCCATGCTTGAAGCAAAACTACTTAACTGAGAGCACCCTGAGCAAGACAGGGCAGGTAAAATAAAAAATCGTGGTGAAGTGTTAACGCCAGAAAGACACAACTGAAACAGGAACCAATGTTAAACGTAATTTTAAAGACTGTTAACGATGCAAATGTCTCCCAGATTCCCTGTGCAGGATCTAGACATTTTTAAGAAATAACAGCATTGTTTGTTTTTCCCACCTTCCTGCTGATTTTGTTTCCAGGCTGCTTGAAAAAAAGCTCCACCAGCCTTGAGCTCTTCACCACTTCCCCAATGAAGCTGATCACCTGCTGGGTTCCCTCCACCAGCTTCTCCACTCCTTCCAGCCTGCGTCCTTGACTCTCTATACGCTCCACTGCCCCACGCAGCTCCATGCAAACTGCCTCGATCCCTGAGCCACGTCTCCCCGGGTGAGAGGAGGCCATCTCCTGACCCATGCCTCTCACATCCTGGGACAGGCCGTCCAGTCGGGTCAGGACGGTCTGCTGCATCATCAGCAGGTGCTCCATCTGTGAGCTGAGGGAGTTTATTCTGCCCTCCATGCACCGTAGGGATGCGTCGTAGTGAGAAGAAGATGAAGAAGCTTGGGACAGATCTGATCCAGTCAGGGAGAACTTCCTTGCAGAGAACTTCTGACCGTGAAGGGGATTTGGATCGTATACTTTGGCTAAAGAGTTAACCAGGCTGGAGTTCATGGTGTTAAACTGTTTACAAATACTAAAAAATAAAAGTTTTACTTCATATAATCGCAAAGGAAACTACAAGAAGGACCATAGTACGGTCAGAAGGAGAGATGCGGATGGAGGTCATAAATCTATCCCTCAAATGCCGCACGACAGAGCTGAGTTATAAGAATAGCAGGTGGCTCTTCCCCAAATTAAAGAGCAGCCCTCTGTGGACGTCAGAAGCTGAGTGGCCAGTGATAAGAGCTCCAGGCTCGGGTGTGCAGCTGAGAATTGATCGGGGGGGCTTAGGTATAAGGAGGGGGTGTGCTATGTGACATTTAAGCCACTTGAAAAGCCCTTCAGACAGGTGTCAGAATCCCAGGAATCTGGGCCTGAAACATGACGCCATAAGAAGTAAAGCAAACAAATAAAAATGTCCTGCCAATAAAAAAAGAACAGTGGATCCGTAGGAGGATAATTAAGAACCTCAGCAGCTGTACCACTGAACGGTTCTGTAAAAACATCCCCCTGTTGTTTATTTCCATTTAGCTTGGGATGTTTGTATGGTGCCAGTTCTTATGAAACGTTGCCCCAATGTGGTGTTTACAAGAAAAAAATGGTCAAACTCCTACCAGTCGCACACTAAATAAATTCCATTAATCAAATTTTATCATAAGGTTAGGTGATCTGATTCAGTTATAGATTGAGCCTTGCTCCAACAGTTACGTATCCATCAGTTTGGCCTGGACAGTTTGTTTCTATTGCTTTCTATATCTCAGCTGGATGTGTGTTAAGTAAAATCTGCAGCTTAATGCTGAGATTAAAGAACTGGGTTTGGTGAAGAAGGGATGTGAGGGACTCCATCATGGCAAAATGAATTGATCGTCATGAGTTCAATCAACTTATGAAGTCATCAAGTCACTGACTTTGCTGTCATCCTTCCTGCTGTCTAAATCTGTAATCAAGTTCAATTATGGAAAAACCATCCATGGGTTTTTTTTATTTATTTATAACTTTTTAGGTCTTTTCGATACCCAGCATAAATCCATTTCAACAATACAAGAACGCGAGACAATGAAGCAGGTGTGTCTCTGTGCAAATTTGGACCTCAGTGAATAACATTATAATGATGAAGCAAAGTGAATGCCAGTGTGTTTATATCACTGAGTAGTTTTAGCTCAGTGCATGCGTCAGCACTGAAGAACATTACTGACGCATCCACTGCTCCATGAGTATAATTCTTTTATTTTAATTAAAAAGAAACATATAATCAAACATTTGGTCCTTTTTCTTTTTTCAAGCATCTCTTGAGATTGAAGTGGTTTTGTTATTCTATGTGGAATTGGATCTTTATTAATTTGATATTTAAAAAAAATCCTCATATAATAAATATTTCATGCATAGGTGCTTTAAGCAGCTTTGAGATTTTCACATTGACTCAGAGGCCACTGGTTGGAACAAATAGCACCAGCATCTTTATGAAGCCCCACTACCGATGGAACGTGAGGAATGAGAAGCCAGCGGAAGAAAACAAGGAAACTGATGATCCCTTTGACATCTCACGAGTGTTTACGGAGCAGACAAGGATTGTGGAAGGTGGAATTAACTGCACATGCCCTACATTTCCATGCCCGAATCCACGGATTGAGCTCAAGATTTTCCACGTCTCAGCAGAGCTCTATCTAAACCTGGCTGGGTGACAAAACGCTGGCGCCTATATGCTGACTCTCATCTGTCAGCACCGGAAAAAACCTGACCCTTACTATGTCCTTTGCACTGCTCCCAGTTCAGACAGCCTGTCAGCTGTCATGGTGAGCACTTGCATCCCTGCTGCCTATTTACCAACTAAGGTGAGAATTAAAGAGGAAATTGTAAACAGAGAGAAAAACCCCTGTGAATATTACATGTTTTTTCATAGGTGAGGAACAAATCCACAGTCAATGGTGTACAAAAAATTCATTATAAAAACCAAGCCACAACATGAAAACATGTTTTAGAGGTTTTACAATTTAATTTATTAGTATAACACAAGTGATCAGTCAGTATGGTCAAATCTTGTGGCATATTTGTTAGATAATTTGCAACGCCTGTGACTTGTTGGTGTTGATTTAATAAAACATGATACAAAAGTTTTTAAACATACATAGAAGCCCCTCCTTCAAAAAACATGACACAGGTTAAAACCAGGCGTAATCCTTAACAGCTATTTCTTAAACTCCATCATTACTGCATCAGAAAATCTGCACTAGGACAAATGGCAAATTGTTTATTTGTTGTTAAAATGGACTAATCCTTGGGCCACTGGGCTTGGTTTCAAACTGGGAAACCAAGTCCAGTGTTTCCCAGTGTGTTTCCTGGACGGGGTCACCTGTGGAACTTGGTTGACAGTTATCCTTTGTATCTCTGCTTCTTTTATATGTCTGCTTCTATCTCCTTGAACCTCGGTCGGCCTCAAAAGATGGCCACTCACCCTGAGCCTTGTTCCGCTGGAGCTTTTTTCCTGTGAAAAAGGAGTTTTTCCTCTCCACCGTCGCTACAAGCATGCTTTTTGTGAGGGATTGCTGAAGAGTCAAGTAGATGCAATCAGCTGGTTCTCCTTACACAGAAAGCTAACCAATCTGACTGTATGATCTGGTTGAATTGTCTGCGTAAAGTGCCTTGAGATGACATCTCTTGTGACTTGTTGCTATATAGATAAACTGAATAGAATTTTAATAGATTTTTTTTTGTCAAAAATAACAAACTTGTTTTTTGTGCAACAATTGATCTAAACAGCTCTGCACCTGTCGGATTTTGTAATAATAAAATAACAGTTATTTTGTAAAATACTGTTTTAGAAATCCAGAAACACAATTTAATTTATTTTATTGCAATCAAATGATGATTTTGTCTGTTTAGGGAAGTAAAAATGAGAAGTCTCCGATGATCAATGACAGTGAAAAACCAAACTGTAAAGCATAAAACTAAGTGTTGTTTCATCAGTCGGTCTCACTCCTTTCCAGAGCTTTAAAAATTGAGGAAAACTATTTATAAGCTTACAATTAGATCAGTCGCCCCAGTTTTATGGATTTTTTCGTTAGGTCTGCATGCTGTTAGCTCTCCATCTAGATGAGAGCACCACCCTCTAGACTGCATAAACATTGTAACTGTGTTTATGCAGCCTAGTATCTACCAGCATAAGATATTCAAAGAAACAGAGAAATGTTGTTATCTGAATGATGGTAATACCCTGAGGCTAACATTTTTAATGAATTTAGGCCATGTGAAATGACATCAGAGGAGTTTCTTCTGGCTGACACTATGATTGTCTTCTGTAGGCTGTTTTGCATTCATCTTTTATGTGGCTTCTTATGTATCATTATTGATACATAAAGCTTTAAAAGTTTACAACCCATGTCTTTTTTCAAGTATAAATAGTCCTAGTGTTAACACTAATTTGTATTCTTATTTGATATTTCTAAATCCCCCACAAATACAGTATTTTCTAACTTTTTTATATTCTTCTATTTTCTACTTGAATATGTATTGATCCTCTTTAGCCCGCTATCTTTTTCTCTGAAAGAAAAATGCTAAGCTTGTTAGATATAAATACATCACTATTTTCTAACCCAGTAGTATTTGAGGTACCGGTATTAGTTGGTAGCGGTCGCCTTAATCAAGAGCTGTGAAATCCCCACTGTTAGGAAAAGGTTATACGGGAAGATGAGAATCAGTCGGGAAGGAAAGGCTTTTCAGGAACCAGGCTGATCCTGAGCTTCTCTCGCTACATATAAAGTTACTGGGAAGGAAAACAAAGAGAAAACACAATGCTTATTGAAGTGCCACAGGCTTTCCATTCATCTGGCAGAGTGAGTGAGCTCACTGACTCTGGTAGAGTGGCCTAAAAAACATTGATACCACAACATGTAACCAAGAGCTACCATCATACTCTGTGTCACGTGCGACAGATGTGTGCTCCTGCATTATTAGTTGCTGTTTAGAGTCCACATTTAGAAACAGAGTAGCTTAAAGCTGGGCATACACTGTACGATTTTTTCAGTCGTTGCACGCAGCTACAGCTCCCACTGTACGACGAAACCACAGGATTTAAAAGTTCACAGCTCACGATGAATGTTCTCACGCTGTGCGACCCGACACTCTGATGCGATCTACCACTGTACGTCTGGAAATCATGTCGGTCTCAGCTCTGCAGTGAGAAGGCGCTACTCGGACTCGATCGAAAAATACTCGCACAACTGGAAAATCGTCCCAAAAAGGACAAAAAATGGTACAGTGCATACACTGTACCATTTTTTGGACAGTGTATACTGTAGCTGTGTTCAACGATTGAAAAAATCGCACAGTGTATGCTCGGCTTTAGCAAAAGGAAGCTGAAGTGTATCATTTTGTGTTTCACGTTTTGATCACTTACTGGGAATATCATCAAGATGGTTTAAGCCGGTCATACAGTGTACGAAAAAATACAGTGCATACAGTGTACAACTTTTTGCCCTTTTTTGGGACAATTTTCTTGTCGTGCAAACATTTTTTGACTTTCAGTCTGATTTTGTGTCGTGCATTGTGTAGTATACGGGGGTAAAGAGCGATAATCAGCCAACCACGACAACCTCCAGATCAGGAATTGTGATTTCTTCTTCTTCCTCTCAGATGAAATCAGAGAAGCATGTTGGGGGTGCGAGTGAAATTGACTTTTTTCTGTAAAATTGAAAGACCGTAGTAGCCAGGTTTGCTCAGCCATGTCTTTGTCCAAATACGTCGTCGCCGTTTCTTTCTAGGGCTTTTTAGGGCTCACATTATTGCATAAATTGCCAAGGCAGCGCATTTCACTCTAATGAGCTTCATATTCCTCTTCTACTCAATTGGCTTACGGATAGATGGGTCAGAATAGAGCCATCTCACTGCAGAGGTGAGTCCCACGTGGTTTTTAGACATACAGTGTGGGCAGGTAGATCACACAGTGTGAGAACATTTATCGTGAGCTGTGAACTTTTAAACCCTGCGTGCAACGATTGAAAAAGTCGTACAGTGTATGCCCAGCTTTAGCAAGAGGAAGCTGAAATGTATAATTGTGTGCTTCACATTTACAGTGATCACTTACTGGGAATATCACAAAGATGGTTGAATATGTTTGATTCTTTATTAGTTTTTACTATAATCAGTCGAAACTATTTAATAAATCAGACTTTCGTTTCGATTTTAGTG